TGTAAGAAATTTCATCAGTATTTATTTGGGCAACAATTTGTGGTAGAATCTGACCATAAACCTTTAGTTTCTATTTTTTCAAAACCGTTAAATAAATGTCCTGCTCGATTACAAAGAATAAAAATGGCATTACAACCATATGATTTTGAAGTTCAATACAAACCGGGTAAGGAATTATTTTTAGCTGATCATTTGAGTAGATCCTACATTAAGGAAGAAAATAGTAATGATATGATAGATTTAGATATAAAAGCACATGTTGCTATGATAGTAGAAAGTAAAAGGATTACAGATGAGAAAATGAAAAAGTTAGTTGAAGAAACAGATAAAGACAGAGTACTTAATTGTGTTAGGAAATATATAAGAGAGGGTTGGCCTCATAATAAATGTAATATTGATAGTGATGCAAAAATTTATAATACTTATAAGGATGAGTTAAGTGAATGTGATGGTTTAGTATTTAAGGGTACGCAAATTGTAATACCTAAGACAATGAAACAGGAAGTTCTTGAAAAAATTCATTATTCACATTTAGGAATGGAAAAATGTAAGGCAATAGCTCGTAAGTCAGTATTTTGGCCGAATATGGGAAAAGAAATTGAAGATCTTATTCAAAATTGTGATACATGTAAAACTTTTCAAAATAGAAATTGTATAGAACCAATGATATGTAAAGAGATACCTAACAATCCATGGCAGATTGTAGCCACGGATATATTTTTTCTTTATAATAAACCTTATTTGCTTTTAGTAGATACATATAGTAAATTTGTTGAGATTCAGCAGTTATCAAATTTATCAACAGAAAGTGTAATAGTGGGTATTAAAGAAATATTTTCTAGAAATGGGATACCTAATATAGTATATTCTGATTCAGGTAGTCAGTTTACAAGTGAAGACTTTAAAATATTTAGTAAAAAATGGAATTTTGATCACAAGATCATAAGCCCAAAACATCACCAAGGAAATGGTCTTGCTGAAAGATATATACAAACTATTAAAAACATATTAAAAAAATTAATTTATGAGAAAAAAGATATATATTTAGGTTTGTTATTGTATAGGAATACACCTTTATCTCAAGATGGTACAACTCCAGCAGAAATGTTATTCAATAGAAGTATTAGGAATATATTACCATACATACATAATGATAATTTTGTTAAGAAAGATTTTACTAAGGAATTGAGGGAAAGACAGTATAAACAGAAAATGTATCAGGATAGGAGAAGTAGAAAAATAAATATATTAAATGATTATGTAAAGATTAAAAATGAAAATTCTGCAGGTTGGTATAAAAGAGGAATAGTGATAGGGAAAGGTAAAGGACCAAGATCTTACATTGTAAAAAGAGAGGATGGTAGGATAATAACAAGAAATAGGAAGGATTTAAATAAATGTGGAAAATTTGAAGTAAATGATAGTTATAGTGATGTGAGTGTGAAAAATGATAATGATATGGAAAATGAAAAGGTTTCAATGTATAATGAAAATAATGTATCAATGAATCATAATGAGAATAATGTAATTGATGATGAAAGTAGTAATATAACTAATCATAATAATTTAAATGAAAATTGTTCTCGTTCTGGTAGATTAATAAGAAAACCTGTATCTGAAGATTTTATATATTATTAAAGTTTTGTTTTGTAAAAGAAAGGGGGATGTTGTAAGAGTACATCACTAGCGTGATTATTGATTGTTGACACAACACTAGTGATAGATGTCAGTAGTAGTAAGAATGGAAACTGATTGTAATGGCTACTCAATAAAGTATAATTAAATAAATAACAATGGTTTAAGTGAATAAGTAAGAACAACATAACACAGATTTATCACAAGAAGAATGGCCAAGAACCTTGAAGCTAGAATAACAAAATATGACTATTACAAGCGCTTGTATTGTGGAGTGAATAGGTAGAAAGGACAAAAGGAGCTCACCGGTGAATTCTTTCTTCGACTTCTCCCGATGATTCTCGGCGCTGGTTCTCTTTTCTATTCACCAAGACTAATATTTTATAATGTTTTTCTTAAAACTTCTTGATTAACAGACACAACACATTACGGATTTATTCTCACTTTATGCGTTTATTGTATAATAGTTTTGTACAGGCGGATAGCAAATTGAGCAGCGTTAGCGATGGCGGCCGGCGGTGAACTTGAACTTGAACAAACTGGGCGGAAGTCGTCTTTCTATTTCTTCTTGTCCTTTAACATGTTTCATGGTTTCAGGAAGTAGGACAGGGAAGGACATACATGGGATGAGTATGCGTGAGTGAGACAGATATGCAAATTAAAACGCGCGCTTATGTTTCTATTATATTGGTAGTTAAAAATGAATGAACGAGATGCGCGGCTGCGTGTGAGTGAAATAGAGTATTGGTCGAACTATCGCTGCGTAAGGAAAGTATAGGTAAAAATGAAATAATGTTACGTTTCGGCGTAAACAACTTCCCTGGCCTAGAGGTTTTCCTCTAAACAAAGTAAGTTAATTGAATGCGGTAATTAAGTAAAATTAAAATAAAATAAGCGAACGATAAAAAAAAAAAAAATGCATGCGTATAAGAAAATTAATTGTATTACTGGAGAGGCAAGGGGCAAATCCTAACTACAGGTCGAATATAAGTTCCTGACAAAGTTTTAACGCGCACAGTACGAACGATATTATCTTTACCAGGATAAAGTTCATCAATAACACCCAGAGCCCAGCATAGTGGATGCGTATTATTATCTTTAATTATGACAACCATACCCCGATGAACAGGTGTAGATGGTGTATTCCACTTTTGTCTTTGCTGAAGGGAAGTGAGGTACTCTTGACTCCACCTCCGCCAGAAAGACTGCGTTATTTTATTCAGTAATTGATAGCGAGTAAGGCGATTATCAGCGTATTCAACATAATCCTCGGCGGGTAAAAATTTTAAGGGCGTGACGTTTAAAAAATGGTTAGGAGTAAGTGCGGCTAAATCAGACGGATCAGAACTCAACACACAAAGCGGTCTACTATTTAGTAATCCTTCTATCTGCACTAATACGGTATTGAACTCCTCGTAGGTGAGTATATGTGTACCTATTACTTTATTCAAATGTGTTTTTACACAACGGACATTAATTTCACACAAACCATTAAAATGCGGACCATATGGCGGACTATGTTTGAACTGAATACGTTGTTGTGAAAGTTAATCACCTATGTAATTTATATGAGCTTTAGAATGCAAAAGAGTGTAAATATTATCTAATTTATGCTTAGCGCCAATGAAATTAGTACCACCGTCACTATATATCATTGCGACAGGGCCTCTGCGTGATATAAAACGTTTAAACGCTGCTAAAAATAGATCTGAACTTAAGTCTGTGACCAATTCTAAATGTAATGCCTTTGTCGTTAAACAAACGAACAAACAGATATATGCCTTTTGACTTTTAATACCTCTGCGGCGTATATGCGTAATAAAAAATGGACCTGCGTAGTCCACTGCTGTGTGAACGAAAGCTTTCACCTCAGAAATGCGAAAAGTGGGAAGATCATCCATGGGGGGATAATTATTTTTAGGATTTATCTTAAAACATATATTACAGGCATGAACTCTCTGACGAACTAGATTGCGAGCGGATAATATCCAAAATTTTTGTCTAATTAAAGCGAGTAACAAAGCGGGACCAGTGTGTAAATTAGAGATGTGAAAATAATCAACAATAAGTTGAGTTAAGCGATCCTTATAAGGGAGGAGAATGGGGTATTTTTGATCACAATTAAGCTGTGATTGAGATAGCCTACCTCCAACTCTAAGTATGTTATTGTCATCAATGAAGGGATTTAATTTTCTAAGCGGTTTGTTATTACAAATATTATGTTTTTTAAGAGATAAAATATCTTGAGAAAAATGTTTATTTTGAATGAAGCGTATAATATATAATTCCGCGGTATCTAAATCTGTTCTATTTATAGTGCCTCGGGTGCATAAATGTTTCGTAAAACGTAATATATAAACAGTTGTACGTAAAAGTTTCGAATAACTTGAATAGCGGTCAATGATAATTTGCATAGGATTATTATTTACATTATTAATTATATTTGCTTTTAATGAAGTGGTTTTAGTCTCCGGTATACTTTCGTCAGAACATGAATTTAATTTAAATTGAGTTATATGCCAGTCTTTTAGTGGCAGGGAAATCCAAGGAAGGGCACAAAACCAGATTTTATTATTAAATAATTCCTTCGGCGTTACAGGGCGTGATATTATATCTGCGGGATTTTCTTTACCGTCGATGTGAAACCAATGGGAAGCGGCAATTTTTGAATTAATTTCAGTTATTCTATTCGCTACAAATGTATGAAACTTATAGGCGGGAGAATGAATCCATGTGAGTGTTACGGTTGCGTCTGAAAATGCGAATATCTTGTCTATATGACAGCGTTTAGATAGTACCTCATGAACTGCGGAGAGGAGATTAGCGAGTAATAAGGCGGCGCAAAGTTCAAGGCGTGCGAGAGATATCTTTTTTAATGGAGCAACGCGAGACTTAGAAGAAAGGAGATGGACAACACCGTCAGAGTGGACATCATTACTCACTCTGATATAAACAACGGCGCCATAACAGGACTCACTAGCGTCTGCGAATCCGATAAGAGTTACATGTGAGTTGCGTGTTATACCTACATGACGAGGAATTTCAATCTGTTCCAAAAATAGAAGTTCAGATTGAAACTTGAACCATTTATTAGATATGGAGGATGGGGTAGGTGCATCCCAGTCCAGATTGTTCATCCAACATTCCTGAACTAGAAGCTTTAAAAACGCGGTAATCGGGCCTAGCAATCCTAATGGATCGAATAAACGTGCGGTTACAGAGAGAATAGTGCGTTTGGTACATTGTGATGAATCTGTACTTATTTTATATTTAAAATTATCCTCTTTAGGATTCCATTGCATACCTATAATTTTTGTATTTGCGTTTGAGTCACAGTCAAATGTTACAAATTGCGGATTTTTATGCTAATTGTCTACTTTAGTCATAAATTCCTTACAGTTGGACACCCATTTTACTAATTTAAATCCACCCGAAGAAAACATATTAATCATCTCTTGATTTGTTTTTTCGGCTGCATCTAGACCATCTAATGACGATACATAATCGTCCATATACATGTGATTATCAGCCTCGTGGGCGGCGAGAGGATATTCAGTGCGACTATCTGAAGCCAGTTGTCTCACAACCCTCATCGCGAGAAAGGGAGAACTAGAGACTCCGAATGAGACTCTGTTAAATTGATAAGTTTGTATATTAGTTTCTGTATTGAATCTAAAAAGTATGCGTTGAAATGGTTGATGATCAAACGTGAGTTTAATACAGAAATACATTCGTTCTATGTCAGCCGTTACACCAATAGCAAACATGCGTAAATTCATCAACAAATCAAAAATATTAGTTTGTAAATTACAACCTGTATAAAGTATGTCGTTCAGTGATAAACCGGACGTGGTCTTACAACCAGTGTTGAGGACTATGCGTGTTTTTGATGGCTGTTTATCAGAGCGATAAACAGCTCTGTGCGGAATATAATAATGTTCAGAGTCGTATATAGGATTTTTTACTATACTTAAATACCCTTTATCAATATAATCTTGAATTGTGGAGTTATAATCTTTACGTAGATCGGGCTGTGAATCTAATTTCTTTTCTAATTGTAAATACTGACGTTTTGCAATAGCGTATGAATTTCCTAATTTCGAAGGCGGTAATTTAAATGGTAAGTGAACGGTATATTGACCTTTATTATCTCGAGAATAAGTCGATTTAAAATTGTTTTCACAAATCTCGTCGTCTTTACTCATATGCGTTTTAGAGGGAACACTTTCTAACTCCCAGAAGCGTTGTGTAAGAGTATCAAGCGGAAGCGGGTCGGATTGACAGAAAAATAATTTGTCATTATTTGAAAGCGTACTATTCTGAGAAGGTGAGTCGCAGTCAGCCTTTCCCATGACTATATAACCGAGTGTAGTCTCTAAACCAATAACTGATGAAGTAGGTGATGTCACTTTATCACTACCAAGCAGTATAGGGAACAACTCATTGCCCACAAGACAGTCAACACGGCCAGGTGAGTAGAAATCATCATCAGCGAGCGGTAAAGATTGCAAGTGTTCTAATTGCGATACATCGACGCGAACATTAGGTAAATAATCAGTTATGACATCTATGACTCGTGCAGTTATTGTATACGAACAGCGGGCGTCGTAGCGTGAGTGAATTTTAAACGTTGTGTACCCATAAGACGTACTCTCTGTTTTTCCTATTCCCCTAATGGTAGATATAGACGGTGTAATATTTAAGTTTAATCGATTACAACATGTTTTGGTAATAAAATTACTCATAGAACCCGAATCAAGAAATAAACGTACATTCGAACGCTTATTCTGATTGTATACGTGAACAGCAGCGGTAGGTAAAAGAATAGTCGTATTGTTTAACTTATTCTGCGCGGGAGTAGTTACCGACAGCGTTATATTATTTGAATTCCCACTCGTAGCCTGTGTGTTCGACGGAGTACTACGAGGGGCGGGCGTAGCCGATTGTACTGTAGCGACGCGGCTTTGGTCGGGTTGCGGGGTGGGACGCGCTGTGTCATAGCGTGAACGTATGTTGGAATCTATATGCAAAAGCGAGTGGTGTTTATAACCACATGTATAACACCGATTTATAGATTTACAGGCGTTTATATTATGAAAACCTAAGCAATTAGCACATAAATTATTTTTCTTAATAATATTAATGCGGTCGTGTACGGATTGATTAATAAAATAATCACATTTAAATAAAGCGTGAGGATAGGGCGAATTACAAAATGCGCATGAGAGTTGACGCGGCTGTATGCGAGCGAGTTCGAACGAGGGTGCGTTGACCTTTGGCCTATATATCTGTTGCGGTGGTGCGTTATAAGGTGATGCGTCCGTGTTTACAAGAAATGCGTTAGTGTGCGTTACTTTTTTATTATCTGACGAATAATTTGATTTATTCTGAATTTGCGATTTATAATTAGTAGAATTAGAGTGAGAATTGCGTAATGTTTGTATTTTACACTGTTCTTTTACAAATTGCGTTAAATCTGAAAAGTTAGGTATATTTTTATCTTTATAAGTTTGTTCGAATAAGTTTACAATATTTTTATCGAGTTTAGTAAGAGCGATATGTAAAAATAGATAGTCAGATAGATTGTCTATTTTCAACTGCCTAAGCGCAGATTCAGCTGAACAGAACTGCTCAATAAAAGTATCCAGAGTTTGATTACTTTTAAATTGTAACATCTGATCGACGTATTGTGATGCTTGTATGCGTACATCCTGATATTTTTCTACTAATGCGTTCCATAATAGCGAGTAATTATCGGCGGTGGGTTGAATACCTGAACAGACATTAAGAGCTTTACCAGCCAAACAACCAATCAAGTACTGAACTTTTTCGGCGTCATGTAAATTTTTATTATCGTGAATTAATGTTTTAAAGTTTTCGTAGAAGCTAATCCACTTACTCGGATTCGAACCGTCGTACTTTAAAAGGTTTAGAGGGGGCAACTTTCGACTTAATAAATTTAATTCTTTATTATCCTGTCTAAGATTTTTTATAGAATTTTCCACTTGTTTAATATGACAATATAACTCATCGAATGACGAAAGCGGCGTGTAGTTCGGTATTGCCGTCTTGTCTATAATTAAGCGAGCCTCCAGTAACGAATCTAAAGTTTCTATAAAATCTGAACGAAGCTTGTCTAACGAATAAACGCGAGTTAAAAATTGCAACTTATAATTCTCATTGGAAACCTTTAGACTGAGATCATAAATATGTTGAATGATGCTAAACAAAGAATTTTTCTTTGCTTCAAGGAGCGTTACGTGGTGATCCTCATCTTTACTAATACTTGCAACTGCGTCTTTAAATTTCGACATTGTTAAAGTAATTAAAGTGATAAATAAGTATTATAGATAGGAGTAAAATTGCGAATTAAATATTATAAAAAAAAAGGCGTGCGGCGCGTGGGTGCGAAACAAAATGGCGATCTTGTGAATTGCGCAATAGAAAAATTGACCGTTATAAGTTAAATGCGGTTGCGTTATAAATGACTTGAAAATAAAGTAAATAGCGATAATGAATGAATGATGAAGTAGATAGAAAGGGAATCGGGACGAAGGACCAGGACTTGGAGTGAATAGGTAGAAAGGACAAAAGGAGCTCACCGGTGAATTCTTTCTTCGACTTCTCCCGATGATTCTCGGCGCTGGTTCTCTTTTCTATTCACCAAGACTAATATTTTTATAATGTTTTTCTTAAAACTTCTTGATTAACAGACACAACACATTACGGATTTATTCTCACTTTATGCGTTTATTATATAATAGTTTTGTACAGGCGGATAGCGAATTGAGCAGCGTTAGCGGTGGCGGCCGGCGGTAAACTTGAACTAACTGGGCGGAAGTCGTCTTTCTATTATCTTCTTGTCCTTTGACATGTTACATGGTTTCAGGAAGTAACAAGGAAGGACATACATGGGATGAGTATGCGTGAGTGAGACAGATATGCAAATTAAAACGCGCGCTTATGTTTCTATTATATTGGTAGTTAAAAATGAATGAACGAGATGCGCGGCTGCGTGTGAGTGAAATAGAGTATTGAACTATCGCTGCGTAAGGAAAGTATAGGTAAAAACGAAATAATGTTACGTTTCGGCGTAAACATATTGAGTTTATTTGAATAAAAATTATTTCTATTTCTATTTCTAGTGCTCATAATATATTTAAGAAAAAGTATTAAATGTGATAATTATAATACTTTTATATAGGCTTAATGCCCGTAGATATAATACAATAATAGAAACTAATAGCAATTAACCGTAACGAAAGTAAACAGTGATTTACTTTCCAATTAACTTCTCCTCATGTGTCACTACGAAATACAGAGACAAAGGAGATATAAACAAAAGCTCTAGAACTCTTAAGGAGCTATTACACTATCATGAGGATTATTTCACTAACTATAACCTTTTTAAGACAGTTGAGTATATTGTAAAGATTCACTTTGTTTGTTTGTAATACTTGTACAATGATTTATGTATAAAAAGACACAATTAACTTATAAAATAAATTAATACAATTGCGGACTTATCACAAAAAAGAGATTTCTTCTAGTCAATCTTTGTATGAACGAGAGGAATTGTAGAGTGGTGCAAACTGGTACAATCTAAATAACTCAAAGGTGACTGACTGACATTTGGCATGTACCTGCATGCCAAATTTTTGCCCGATCCGTCCAGTGGTTTGGGCTGTGCTGTGTAATGTTATGATGTAAGCATCCCCTAAGAAATGATTTTGATTAATTCTACCCCTAAGGGGATAAAATAGGGGATGAAAGTTTGTATGAAACTTTGTCAATTTTAAAGCGAGGCTGAGACTTTGTATGCATAAAGCTACTATGACGTAGGCATCCACTAAAAAAGATTTTTGATAAATTCCACCCCTAAGGAGATAAAATAGGGGATGAAAATTTGTATAAATCTTCTTAGATTTTGTAGGCCCTAATTTTTTACACACGCTAAACAAAAGTAAAGCCTCAAAAACTACACCTAATTAATAATACTTACTACTACGCGAGGGAAGCCGCGGGCAAAAGCTAGTAAATAATAAGCGTCATACTGTAATATATGTATATTCGTTATGTTATATATTTTATTACATATAAGTAATATATTAACTTATAAATATAATGATATAATAAATGAACAGAAAATACATAAATATACTGAATTAAAAATGTAATATTTAATTAATCACTATATACAGTTAAAATTCAAATAATTACGTGTATACGATATCTTTTTTTATTCAATATTAAAATTATAAAACCTTAAATTAAATTATAGGACTCTTTCTTCTCTCTTCTCTTGTACTACTAAAGTAGACTTCAGACAGTCTGAAGTCTACATTGGTAAACGTATTAGAAATAGAATTAACTTTAATGATGCTTTTTTAAAACAAATAAACACACAAAAAGCGTGTTTTATATAAATAAAAATGGATTAACTTGTTTTATTTATACTATAATCATATGTGCATATAAATCCTATAATTAATATAAATGGAAAAGTTTGTGAAGATGGACGACTGAATAAATATAAAAATAAACAACTGTTTATTACTAAAAATAATGGTTCGTCCTTATTTGAGATATTTCTAGAAATAAGCCTTGAATATAAATCTGTAGGTAATATTTTATTTATGATGGCCTCGGTTGTATAGCGATTTAGCATACCGCTTTACTTGCTATGGTTGTCAGTTCGATTCTTCGCATGGTACAAACATTTATATTCGCGAGTATATTAGTATTGGTCTAGGTGTGTTTGTGTAAACTTATTATCATTATTTCGGCCCGGAAGACGTCCACTGCTGGACAAAGGCCTTCCTTAAAAATCTCCACGACGATCGGTCCAGCGCTGCTTGCAAGCAACGCTTTCCAGAGATCTTGACCAGATCATTGGTTCTTCACAGTTTTTATGTATATTATATACGTATATATAAAAAAATGCTTATAAATTCTGTTATCAATTGTTTAGCAACGCTGTGTGAATTGTTAAAAGTTATTTTATTATTATTTGTTCTAAAATACTCCACCAGATTGTACAACCTATAGGTATTGTGTACCGCTACATTCCATCTGAACTATACGCTCCGAGACAAAGCTTGGAGTGGCAAGTCCTTCAATGTTGAGCCTCCCTTTGTTTCTGACCCCAAAGCTGATTCTTTTAGCCCGGTAGGCACAAGGTTTGAGCTTTGAACTTTTGAGATGGGTGGACTGCGCAAAATATGACATGGCGACGAAAGTTAAGTATCTCTACATTTATTAAATTAATTTAATATTGTTCTTTTTAACTATTTAATATTTATTTTGTAACGTTTTGCATGCCAATTTATGTACATTGTTTAAGAAAAAATCAAATTAGAAGCAAAATCTAACTCAGCACAATAACAAATTGTATTTAATTCATTTTCAACCTCCCATCCAATTGTTGGTCAAAAATTCATTTATTGTCATTCATCCTAACGTTTTTCGCTGGAACTCATTTGATCTCGAAACCTTAGATTTTATAAGACAAGTACCTCTTACCCGCGACTTCGCCCATGTGGATATTTTTCTTAATTAAAGCAAAAAAAAAATTAAAATAGCTTATGTAAGCCTTATTACATTAGCTATCTGCGAGTGAAAGTTCCATCAAAATCGGTCTAACCGTTTCAGAGACTAGCAAGAACAAACAGACATACAGTCAAAACAATTTTAATATTATCTTTTTGATGTAAGTATCATATATCTATATATTAATAGGTAAAGCAAAAATTTTGTAGCCCTTTTTACAAGTATAGTCTTTGACAAGAGACTCTTGTTAATATTCAAAGATGTAATTTAAATTAATTATAGTCGAATTTCGTCGATTGGGCGACCATTACTATATTTAAATATGTATTTAGTGAAAATCTGTTAATTTAAAATTACAATCAGGAACTTAAAATCTATTTGTTTGATGTTCGCTTGACGCTCTCAATTCATAAAACGCTACATCTCTTCAATTGTTCTAAATTTAGTCTCTATGAGCATAGATAAAGGAAATGCCACCAGTAAAGAGCTGTCTAGAATATTGCTTTTGTCTAGCAGGACAGACGGTCTCGCCATAATGGTATAGCTTTTTAACAACCGACGCAAGAGGGGTGTTACAAATTTAAGGTGCTATATCTGTCTGTGGCATCGTAGCTCCTAAACGAATAGAACGATTATCATGCAGTTTTTTTATTTAAACACTGATATGATTGAAGGTTCTTAGTTACAATTTATGAAGATCTGTAAGCCACTTTAAGTAGGACACTTTTTTTTAAATTACGGTAGAGAGTTTAGACGTATTTACTTTTTGGATTTTATCTATCGTCATCATCATCATCATCATCATCATCATCATCAGCCTGTGTCCACTGGTGAATATTTATATATTTATAGATTTTGTTTTGTTGATAAACTACGCAACGAATTTTAATGCTATATTTAGCAATAGATAATATATGTACACCCTTGTGAATCCAGTGCGGGTAACTCATATACGTTATAAAATCATACTCTTTTTACTATGTGTCTGTATACACCGCTTTTCTTTCGTTGATCGCGGGTTCGTTTCCTCGCCCGGTACAAATATTTGTATTCATGAGCATGATTGTTTGTACCAGTATGGGTGTTCTCTATGTATATTATGTATGTATTTACAAAAAAAACATATCTGTGTATTTACATCAGTTGTTTAGTACCCATGACACAAGCTTTAGCTAGCTTATCTTGGGTCTAGATGCGCTGTGTATAGTCCTGGGTCATTATTATTATTCTCGTTGTTGTTTCAAAATAGATATTGTGTAATTGTGACCAAGCTTAAAATAAATAGTTGTTTAAGCTGACAAACAAATATCTTAGTCCGTTAAAGGCATGGGAAGGCTTAAAGTCGCTCAGTTATGCTGTGATGAGGACTATTCTCGGAATTTCTAGAATATTCGATGTAACCAAAGGGATCGCCTTTGAAAACAAAGATTACATTCGCTTTAGTTTGCTAGCTTAATTTGTACCTAATGACTTAAGAATGACATAATTTCTAATCAAGTAACTTTAACCAAATTCAAAAGAGAAAGATTTTCAGTACGACTTTATTATTGACATCAGTGATTTAGCACTAAAACTGCTTTATATTTCAATGGACAAAATATTCAGTAGGATTCGGTCCTTATACAATATAAGTATTTGTGTTCTATTCCAAAAAGACATAGATATAATCTTTATTCAAATAAACTCAATTCAAACACTTGAATAGTCATATTTTTTTTCCACCACTCATTCGGAACACAGATTCATCACAAGAAGAATGACCAAG